GTAGAGACCCAACTAATTGAGCTATCATCTGCTGCTTCCATGTGTGCATCAACAGGAAGCTGGAGTCTGGAGTGGAGCCAGGACTTGGACCCAAGTACTCCAGTATCAGATGCAGGTGTCCCAAACAGTGTCTTAAGCACTATACCAAACACCTGCCCCTCCCCCCAACAAATACCCTCACAGATTCTGATATCTGTGGGAGTCCTGGATACAATCCCCCATGAATCCCAAGGGACAACAGTACCATATATTGTATTTCCATTTGGCAGTTGATGAATTGTTCCTATTTTTTGATGTTTGTGAATAACGCAGCTCTGTTGGTTTGCTGGGGCTGTTATAAGAAATTCCCACAAATCTGACAGATTAAAACCACAGGAATTGATCCTCTCACGGTTCTGCGGACCAGAATCCTGAACTCAAAGTGTACACTGGACTGTGCTCCCTCTGGAAGCCCTTGTGGAGATTCTGTTCTTCCTTCTTCAAACTTCTGGTGGTTTCCAGCAGTCCTTGTCCTGTGGTCACATCACTCCAACGTCTCTCTCTATCTTAACTGCCCTTTGTGCTCTGTATCGTACTAAGATACCTATGGTTACAGGAAGGGCACAGTCTGACGGTGTAGGGAAAGTGGCTCATCTCAAGACCTTTCACTGGCTGTCTAAGGCAGCATAGTGGTGTTCAGGGGTTTGACTGTGGTTGTGTTTTGTGGGGCCATTCTTTAGCCCTCCACAGCAGCTGTAGGCATTCACAGAAGATTTTTGTGTAGACAATTGGTTTCCTTTCTCTTTATAGATATCTAGGAGTAGCCTTACTGGGTTGTATGGTAAATTTATGTTTAACTTTATAGAAAACTGCCAAATTGTCTCCCAGAGGGGCTGTATCATTGCCCATTTAACCAGCAGGATATGGGAATTCCAGCTTCTTCACATCCTTGCTAATTGTCTGTCCTTTTTGTTTTATATTAGCTGCCCTCGGGTGTGAAGTGGTGTCTCTTGTGGTTTTAATTAATCAGTGGTTTCCCCAGTGACTAATAATGTTGAGTCTCTTTTCATGCGATTGTTAGTCATTCATATATAATTCTTAGTAAACTGTTCACTGTTCTTGCCCATCTTTTTCTTTTTTTTAAGATTTTTTTTTTTTTTAAAGACAGAGTTACAGAGAGAGGTAGAGACAGAGAGAGAGGTCTTCTATCTATTGGTTCACTCCCCAGATGGCTGCAATGGCCAGAACTGTGCCGATCCAAAGCCAGGAGCCAGGAGCTTCTTCTGGGTCTCCCACATGGATGCAGGGGCCCAAGGACTTGTGCCATCTTCCACTGCTTTCCCAGGCCATAGCAGAGAGCTGGATCGGAAGAGGAGCAGCCAGGACTAGAACTGGCGCCCATATGTGTTGCCTCACTTCAGGCCAGGGCTTTAACCCGCTGCACCACAGCACCAACCCCTCTTGCCCATCTTAACAGTGGATTGTCTTTTTCTTTTTGGGTTTGGAGTTAGTTTACTGTTTTCTACAACCTGACGCAGCCATTGCCAGTCCTAAAGTCTGGTGACTGAGGTCACCTTGATCAGGAAATGCTAGGACAGCGTGGTTCCCCAGGCTGTCCAGGGCTGGAGCTGTTTAGTGTCCTGTGTCAGTCTGTCACTGCTTGATTCCCCAGGCTGTCCAGGGCTGGAGCTGTTTAGTGCCCTGTGCCACTCTGTCACTGGAGGATAGACAGGATCCACATGTGGCCTTTTGGCCACAAATACTGTGTCAGGAAAGCTAAGATGTCATAAACTCAGCAGTTGTCCTACTGTTAATTGAGTGGTTATTTCTGTGATTGTATATTCAATGTCTTACACACACAGACACCCACACACATGATTGTTAAGTTCCTCTGGGACAGGAGCTGTGTCTCTGCGTCTGTCACTATATCACCATTCTCCAGTGCAGTGATACATAGTAGGGAGCTGAGCAGGGTTTATTGCACTGGGGAAATAAGCCTTTGTTCTCTGTTTTACAATGGGTGGCTCACATGAAGTCATTAAACAGAGGGGTATGTGTTGTGTGAAGAGTTCACCCAGCCCTGAATGTGCCATGTAGTGTGTGGGGAGCAGCCCGGACTGGACTGAGTTACTGGAATTAAGACTTATTCTATGCATCTGCTCTCCCACAATATGGCGCTGGGAGAGAAGAAAACAGCTTTTGCACAGCTGCCTCCAGTTCAACCAATAAACTGTAGGACTTGCTCCTGATTGGAGGAGAGCAGCGTACTCGGCGTGTGGGCAGCCGAGTTGGGATTGGCAGAGGAGGACTATAAAGGAGGAGAGAGACGGCATGCACCAGGAACATCTATGGGGAACATCTAAGGGAACCCGTGCAGCCCCCGAGAAAGCCGGCCGGCGGTGTGCCGCTCCCCTGCGGAAGTGGGGAATGTGGCCAGGGGGAACTGCCCTTCCACGGAGGTGGAAGGGACGGTAGCCAACCCGGGAAGAACCAGCAGCAAACCCGGGGAGGGCCGAGCAGACGAAAGAACAGCGCAGGGTCCTGTGTCGTTCCTCCACGAAGAGGGGGAGCGACATAATGGTGCCGTGACTCGGATATGAAGCCTAGGCAGGGTTCAGTGTCGCTCCTCCACGAAGAGGGGGAGCGACAGTAGTGGTATGTGTTCTAATTTCCCCCCTTCTCTTCGTTTCCAGCCATCTACAACTACAATGCTTCTCAAGATGTGGAACTCTCCTTGCAAATTGGTGACACTGTCCACATCCTGGAGATGTATGAGGGTAAGTCTGGATGGCCTTGTGCCAGACCAAGGTAGATGAGAACAGCGGAAGTTACTTATTAATAAGGCTCAGAGTCAACATGCACATGTTTGCTTCCTGAAGCAGTGCTAGTAAAAATCCAGGAAGTACTTAAGTGGCACAGTTTTGTACTCAGGATGATTTCACAACAGCCGGGTGACTCTATGCATGCAAACATGCCCAGACACCAGAGTCAAGGTTGGGGGTCTGCGGGGGTGCGGGGAAGCCTGAGGAAGCTGTAGCTGTGCCCCTGCCACAGGATGCAGCAGGGTCAGCTGCAGCCCCGGCTTGCGTGGAGACACCTGGAGCATTCACTCGGTGGCTTGAAGGAAGAAACAATGGCATTCAGGGTCTCTTTCTGCTCAGCAATAAATGCTGCCAGGTTGACGGAGAAATGAGGGAGAGACTTTTGGAGTTACTGAGAATCTGTCAGAGAAGTAAGTCAAGACGGCAGCAGGTCCAAAAAGCGAGCTCATTCCAACTAGGTCAGGCTAGGGTAGTGGTTCCTGTTACCCTGTTACTGGGCTCGTGTCTTTGCGTGTGAGCACAGCCCAGGCTTGTAGCTTCAACTCAGGTTCTTTGTGTCTTCCATGCAACCACTGAAGTTGAGGATCAAAGCTGAGAAACAACTTTTTGGGTTCAGTTGTTCCCCTGAAGATTGGGGAGTGAAGTGGGAATCTAAGCAGGTTTTTTTCCTAGGATAAGTCTTGTTGGGACAGGGACTCTGGGGCTGGCACTATGGCCTAGTGGGTTAAGCTGCCTCCTGTAGCACTGGCATCCAATATGGGCTCTGGTTCGAGTCCTGGATGCTCAACTTCTGATCCAGCTTCCTGCTAATGTGCCTGGGAAAGCAGTGGAAGATGGCCCATGTGCTTTATCCCATGTGGGATAAAGGGATAAAGCTCCTGGCTCCTGGCTTCTGTCTGGCCCAGCCCTGAACATTGAGGCCACTGAAGAGTGAACCAGTGGATGGAAGACTTCTCTCTCTGCCTTTGCCTCTGTCTCTCCCTCTTTATTTGAAATAAATAAATAAATCTTAAAACAAAACAAAAAGAACAGGGACCCTTTGGTGCCCCGCCCTCCCTCAGCTTGTGATGGTGGAATGGCCAAGGGGGTCACCCAGAATCCCAGGCAGGTTCCCAGGCAAGGTCAGGATGATGCAGGATGAAGGCATGGGAAGCCAGGAAGAAAGGCAGCAGCATGGGCCGTAGAAAAGCCAAATCATCTGCCTGGTCACACAAAAGTCTCTGCTGTTGCTGCTTCTTCCCTTTAGTTTTTGGCCGAGGGCTAGGGTTTTGCATTATCGTTTTCCTTACGTGCAATTCAGTGTAATTGCATAGTTCCCGAGGCGAGGAGAAACAGAGAAGGCTGTATGGACTCTTGCACTCCCATTCTGGTTTCATCCTGTGTCTCAGGCAACTAGGGCCACTCAGCTTATCTCTTCAGGACTCCTTTGCTTGTGGTTACCATAGCCCCCTCAAGCTTCACTAGGCCATACCAGTTTGTCAGTGGTGCTGATAATATACTCTTTCCAGTCTGTCTGTTCAATTTTAATTATTATTCCACTTAGACTTGGAAAGTCTAAGTGGAAAAAACACTTGTGTGTTTAAGAATCATTGGGCCGGTACTGCGGCTCACTAGGCTAATCCTCCGCTTGCGGCACCCCGGGTTCTAGTCCTGGTTGGGGCGCCGGATTCTGTCCCGGTTGCTCCTCTTCCAGTCCAGCTCTCTGCTGTGGCCCAGGAGTGCAGTGGAGGATGGCCCAAGTGCTTGGGCCCTGCACCCGCATGGGAGACCAGGAGGAAGCACTTGGCTCCTGGCTTCAGATCAGCACAGCGCGCTGGCCATAGCAGCCATTTGGGTGGTGAACCAGTGGAAGGAAGACCTTTCTCTCTGTCTCTCTCTCTCTCTCTCTCACTGTCTAACTCTGCCTGTCCAAAAAAAAGAATCATTGGGTGTAAAATTATGTATGTGACCATTCAATTCTAATTTCTTAGCTATTGTTCCAAACCTGCTGTGTGCTAACATTTTTCAGCTTTGTTGGTTACTGATAGAACTGTGCTAAATTTTACACCATTATCATTGTTTAGTTTCTTTACCATGATGTCAGTTGTTTGATTTATATATTCTGAACCTGGTTTTAGGTGCCTACCAGTTTAGAACTGTGTTAAACAATACCAACTCTTAAATCCTGCTTATTAAATATTTAATCATTTTCATCCATAGTAATGCTTTATAACATACTTTATTTTGTCTGAAATTATAATCCCAGTGTTCTGATTTTTGTCTTTCTGGCCCCTCAAGGCCATCAGAAATATTGCTCAGCTTCTCAGCCTCTCAGGAATATTTTCTTAAATCAGTAGATCCCCCAAGAGAGAAGCAGTCCTGGTCTTACGGATTTTGATCTTTTCAGAGCTTGACCTGGTAATTCACTGCTGTGTTGGCTCTGTGTATGTCCAGGTGGGGAACAGGAGTAGTTGCTTGTCAGGCTCTTCTAATTGTCCTACAGAGTGGGGCAGGGAAGAATGGAGATTTGATTGGAAACAAAGTAGGTGTGTCTTTAAAATACATTCTTAAAATTCATTTTCCTCTTTCCCATGACTCTAGCATATTTTTTGAAATAGTTAATTAAAGTGCTTTGTCCCCATAGGACTCATGTTAATAGTAATTTTAAGTGTGCTCGCTGTACTTTGCTTGTCTCCCACTTAGCCAATGGATGGTCCTGAAGGCAGCACTCTTACAGAGCATGCTGTGGTGGTCACTAAGAGTAGCTGAATATACAGTTGGAGTATCCCTTATCTGAAACGCTTGAGACCATAAGTGTTGTTAGAGACTGATTTCTCTTCCCGTTTCAGAAAATTTACAAATACATAAAGAGATACCTTGGGGATGAGACCCAAGTCTGAACACATTTATGTTTTGTGTGTACCTTATACAATAGCCTGGAGATAATTTTATACAACATTTTTAATTTTGGTGTGTAATTTTTCTCTTGTGTATCATGTTAGCACTCAGAAAGTGTCAAGAGTTTGGAGCATTTCAGATTTTGGATTTTTAGATTAGAGATGCTCACCCTGTGTTAGATATAAACATAGACACACAAGCATGTTCGTTTCAATTACCATACACTGTTCAAAATGTCCAATACCTTGGTATTTCTAGTAAGCTGCATTTGACACACAGCGTGATTGCAGGAAGTTCTGACCCAGGGGACAACCATACCAAAACTTAAATTTATCAGTGTTACATCTTCAATATGAAGAGACAGTGCATAGGTCCTACCAGCAAGAGGACAACTTTCTTGTTAATTGTTACCATAAAGTATTTGCTGTGTCAGCTATAGAACTCTTTCATCTCAGTAAGGATTTCGGTGGCTGTTCTTTAAAAGTGGCCACATGTCACTGTTTGAATGGAGGGGATTTAGGACATGAGCTCATATCAGGAGCTTACCCAGTTCATTGACACCAAAGAATATGTCAACTTTACACAGAGATTATTATGTTGAATTATATTTTGCAATAGTGATTATTTTATGGTATTAATTTTTACATAGTGCTTGCTTTGCCAGATGCCCAGTTTCTTGTATCTGCTTAGGACTTAGAGTTCTTGGCTGGATTCTTGAATTCTTTTATTATTTCAGGCAACTTAGGACTAAGCGAGGGCAGGAGAGCTTTGCAAACATGAAGCGCAATGGAAATGCTGAGTAATAATTTGTGTCCTATCCCTCCTCCCCATCCCCACTTCCTTTAAAAAAAAAAAAAAAAAAAAAAAAACAACAGAATGGAAACACCCACAGTCCTGCAGACTGAGCTGTAGGGTAATGCTGGCCGGGTTCATAGCCGTGGGGGTTTAGTGTCTTTCAGCTTCCTGTCGAGCTGACTCCCAGGCTCTCCCTCTGCACACTCTGCCCCACCCTGCCTTTGAGATATGTAATTCCCGGATCTGTGTGTTGCCTTTCTGGCATGGACAGCAGTACCCCTAGATATGAAAACTTCTTTTTTGGCTTCAGCCCACAACAGACGATGACTTAGGACACTCCATTTGCAGCCCCCTACCCTGTTGCTTGGATGAGTGTGCTGAGAGTGGTAGCCCTCAGGAGGCAATGCCTGCCCTTCCTTATCCCTGAGCACCTACCACAGCTGCTGACGGACAGCAGACACTCAGCACGACTCAGTTCACTGAGTGAAATAAGAGGTCAAGGCAGCTGGGCCAGAGTGGCGGGGTCAGGGGCCCTCCATAAAACCCTGGGTGTTACAAGGCTGGACTGCGCTTCCCATCTCATGAGGGAAACAGGGAGCACCAACATCCCTCTGCTGTCTGCAGACCGCAGGAGGATTAGGCTGTGGCTTTTGTTTTTAAATAGCAGCTTTACTGAGATAAACTCAGATACCAAACAGTTTACCCACTTAAATTCTACAATTCAATAGCTGTTTACTAAGTACGGTATACACAGAAGTGGGCAACCATTAGCACTGTCTACTTGCAGAACATTTTCCTTGCCCCAGAAGAAGCTCCATACCTGTTAGCAGCCATTCCCCCAACTCCAGGCAGCCACGGTTCTGCTTTCTGCCTCTGTAGATTTGCCTTTTGCAGACATTTCAAGTAAACGCAATCATACCATATGTGGCCTTTTTCATATACTCCTTATAAACATTGCCTAAAGGTACTTTTATGTAATATTTTTAGTGCACCTGTGTTTTGACCTGGCACGTGAGATCAGGTGTGGAAATTTCCATTTGTGGCATCACCTTGGTGAAAAAGTTTCAAAGTTTGGAGCATTTTGGATTAGGAATTATCAGAATGGGTTTGCTTAACTTATAAAATGAAAAGGATTAAAAACGGATCATGACTTAAGCTGTATGTGTTTTGACTTTCATCTTTGTAAAGTAGGCCTTTGAGGGTAGGAAAGATTTCTAGCAGAAGTATTTTTTAAAAAGGAAATTTGAAGATTTTTTTCAAGCAGAGACTTTTTTTTTTTTTAAGATTTTATTTGTTTATTTGAGAGAATTACAGAGAGAGAAGCAGAGAGAGAGAGAGAGGGAGATAGAGAGGTCTTCCATCTGCTGGTTCATAACACAAATAGCCAAAAAGGCTGGACCTGGGCTCATCGGAAGCCAGGAGCCAGGAGCTTCCTTTGGGTCTCCCAAGTGGGCGCAGGGACCCGAGGCCTTGGGCCATCTTCTACTGCTTTCCCAGGCCATAGCAGAGAGCTGGATCAGAAGAGGAGCAGCCCCACCATGAACCAGTGCCCACATGGGATTCTGGCGCCACAGGTGTAGGCTGTCCTACCACAGCACAGCGCTGACCCCTCAAGCAGAGACTTAATAATGATCTTTCTGAGATGTGATAATAGAAGCCCTGCTTTGACCATATGGTATATAGTAAGGTGTCTAACTTTTTGAGAACCTGTGATTCAAGAAGAAGGATTGTCACATTATACGGTCATTCAAGTACAACAGTTCATCCACCTAGTGGCTTTGTAATCTCTTGTTCTTCAATTCTACTCATTTGTTACTGCAGTCAGCCATGCCTAGTAGTCATAAGTCAAGTAAAAGACAAAAATATCAAGATCGATTTTAATAATTAGTTCTTGAGGCTGGCATTGTAGCATAATAGGTTAGGTCACTACCTGCAACACTGTCATCCCATGTGGGCACCAGTTCGAGTCCCAGCTGCTCTACTTCTGATCCAGCTTCCTGCTGATGTGTCTGGGAAAGCAGTGGAAAATGGTCCAAATGTTTGGACCCCAGCACCCATGGGAGATCCAGATAGAGTTGCAGACTGCTGGCTTCATCTGGCCCTGCCCTAGCCATTGTGGCCATCTGGGAAGTGAACCAGCAGATGGAAGATCTCTGTCTCTATCTCTCATCACTGCCCCTTGTAGCTCTGCCTTTCAAATAAATAAAATAAATCCTTTTTTTTAAGAAAGCAAATATCCGTATATTCTCTCTCTGTCTTTTTTTAAAGATTTATTTATTTGAGAGGCAGAGTTACAGAGAAAGAGGAAGAAACAGAGACAGGTAGTCTTCCATCTGTTGGTTCATTTCCCATATGGCTGCAATGGCCAGGGCAGGGGCAGGCCGAAGCTGGAGCCAAGAGCTTCTTCCAGGTCTCCCAGATGGCTTGCAGAGACCCAAGTACTTGGGCCATCTTCCACTGCTTTCCCAGGTCATCAACAGGGAGCCGGATTGGAAGTGGAGTACCTGGGACTCAAACCAGTGCCCATATGGGGTGCTGGAGGCCCAGCTCAGGCCACTGAGGACATTTCAGGAGTGAAAAGCAGAAGGAAGATCTCTGCTTAACCTACTATGCCACAGCGCCAGCCCCTAAAATAAATCTTTTGTAAAAATAGTTCTTACTGACTCAACACCAAAAAGGAAACCTCCTGAAGTGAAATGGACACTATGAGAAATGGTGACTTGATCAGCATAGCTCTGACTGCTAATGGACAACTTAATACATTATCCCTCATAGTATTTTTTTTTGTCTGTTCTACTTAATATGACTGGTTTAATTCTGTAATTATCACACAGTTATTCTTAAGTGTTGAAAATTAACCGAAATGTGATCCCTGTTAAACATAAGAGTGGGAATAAGAGAGGGAAGAGATGTATAATTTGGGACATGCTCGGGCTGACTTGCCCCAATTGGTAGAGTTGGAAACATACCAGGGGATTCCAATTCAATCCCATCAAGGTGGCATGTGCCAATGCCATCTCACTACTCCAAGTGATCAATTTCAGTTCACAATTGATCATAATGAAAGGACTAAGAGTCAAAGGGAGCACATAAACAAGTCTAGTATCTGCTAACACCAACTGATAGAATAAATAAAGGGGAGAGTGATCCAACATGGGAAGTGAGATACTCAGCAGACTCATAGAATGGCGGATGTCCTAAATAGCACTCTGGCCTCAGAATCAGCCCTAAAGGCACTCAGATCTGGCTGAAAAGCCCATGAGAGTATTTCAGGCATGGAAAGCCAAGACACTCTGGCAAAAAGATCTCTGTGAGTGAGATCCCAGTGGAAAGAACAGGTCTTCAAAGAGGGAGGTGCCTTTCTCTGAAGGGAGGAGAGAACCTCCACTTTGACTATGACCTTGTCTAAACAAGATAAGAGTCGGAGAACTCAAGGGGCTTCCATAGCCTTGGAAACTCATAACTGGTGCATAGGGAGATTACTGATGCCATAAACAGGAGTGTCAATTTGTAAAGTCAACAACAGGAGTCACTGTGCACTTACTCCTCATGTAGGATCTCTGTCCTTAACGTGCTGTACACTGAGGCTTAATGCTATAACGAGTACTCAAACAGTATATTTCACTTTGTGTTTCTATGGGGGTGCAAACGACTGAAATCTTTACTTAATGTACACTAAACTGATCTCTGTGAAAAAAAAAAAACACAAAGACAAAAAAAAAAAAAAAAACGAAATTTTCAATTCCCAACTTGACTCTCACTGGGATTAAACATGACAATAGGTCTGATCTGATTTCATCATCATTTTAAAAAAAAATCATCTATTATTTTTCACTTTATGTTTCTGTGTGGGAGCAAACTGTTGAAATACTTACTTAAGGTATACTAAGCTGATCTTCTGTATATTAAGATAATCGAAAATGAATCTTGATGTGAATGGAAGGGGAGAGGGAGTGGGAAAGGGGAGTGTTGTTGGTGGGAGGGACGGTATGGGGGGGGAAGCCATTGTAACCCATGAGTCGTACTTTGGAAATTTATATTCATTAAATAAAAGATAAAAAAAAAATAAAAAAAAAAATAAAAAAAAAAAAAAATAGTTCTTACTAGCAGCTGTAAAAGTTTATGGAGTATAAACTGTAATAGAACCTTCAGTTACTTGCAACTTCCATTTACTTTTATTTCCCCACTAGTAATTGAAAGCTTATTGTAGTTCAGAATCCTCACTGTCATCATGATCTAGTTAAAGAAGCAGCTATCTTTGACACACATAAGTGGCAGTGAGCCCAGCAGCTTGGACTTTATGACAAGTGCCACATGCACGTATTTTGGCATTAGCTTGGAAAGCAGATTAGGCCATGTGGCATTTTGTTGAGTGTGCTTGGTCACTTCCCACATCTGTTTGACCTTTACCTTGAGTACAGCTTGTCAGCTTCTATTGCTAGGGGCATATGTCCCTGCGATGTGGTTTACAAAACACATGCATGGCTGTAGGAGTGTGTTTTTGAGAAAAACTAATTTAAAAGAAGAGCTAATGAAAAGTATGATCTGAGATTTAATCTCTCTCTCTTTTTTTTAGGGAAAAGTTTGTACTTGTATTTATTTATTTATTCATTTTTCTCCAGAAACATTTTATTTAAGGAATACAATTTTCATATATTTCTTAGTGACAATTTTAGGAACATGGTCATTCTTCCCACTTTACTCACCCTTTCACCCACTCTCCCACCCCTCTCCCTCCTCCCTCTCCTATTCTCACTCATTTTTTTTACCAAGATCTATTTTCAATTAACTTTATACACATATGATTAGCTATATTAAGTAAAAAGTTGAAAAAATAGTATGAAAAAAAAAAAACTGTTCTTCATGAGTCGAGACAATGGCTGTTCAAAGTCGTTGCTTCTCAAAATGTCAATTTCACCTCTACAGATTTCCTTTTAGGTGTTCTATTAGTTATCACAGGTCAGGGAGAACATACGGTATTTGTCCTTTGGGACTGCCTTATTTCACTAAGTATGATGTTTTCCAGTTTCATCCATTTTGTTGCAAATGACTGGATTTCTTTTTTTTCTTTTTTACTTCTTTGTAGTATTTCATGGTGTACATATCCCATAATTTCTTTATCTGATCTTCAATTGATGGGCATTTGGGTTGAGTCTATGTCTTAACTATTGTGCATTGAGCTGCATCAGATTTAATCTTATAAAAAGGAAGATGCTAGGACTGGCATTAGCATCCCTTATCAGAGCAAGTCCTGGCTCCCTGCTAATAGGACTGGATAAGTAGCAGAATATGGCCCAAATACTTGGACCCCTGTCACTCACATGGGAGACTTGGTGATCCACAGGTTTTAGTATTCAGGGAATCTTGATTGGATCAAGAGGTTAGGGAAGGTGCAAATTGATGGAGCAGGCTCATTGCATCACTTGCACAAACCCCCTCAAGGCTCTCTTCACACCTCTGATTGCTAGGTCATTCAGTTATTTAATGCTCAAGCTTTCTGATCAATTTCTAAGATATATTATCTCCATTGTGAAACATTGCACATCAAACCCTGTGGCCTTGGTAAGAGTCAGTTAAGGATTGGTGTAAGGAGAAAGTCCTAGAGGAAATTTCAAAATTGAGGGTAAATGGGCATATGCTGTATCACTTCCTGCTGAAATCTGCAAAGAAGGGTTACATGTGTGCCTCTGGCTTGCTCATAGTAACATAAGAGTAATTTACAGTGTCAAATAATGTTCATCATGAAAGAACTCAAAGGACTAAATAAACGGAAGATGTCCCATGTTCATGGATAGGGAGACTCAAGAGGTCAGTTCTTCTGATTTTGGACATGCAATACAGTTTTCCAATGCAGGTAAAGTTCTTTTGCCTTTTTTTTTTTAATATTTATTTATTTATTTATTTGAGAGGCAG